TAGGATCAATTTTTCATATAGAAAATGCAAAAAAATAGTTACTGTACAAAATTATCATCTAATTATGTTCAACAACTCATTTAATATGCTTCATCATACAACTTTCAGATTTTAATTTAGGAATCTACAGTATAATAAACATTTAAAACGAAAATGTTTTAGTCATGAATATCATAAAGTTACAGAAAGAGATGTCTTTCCTAACACTTATCTATTTTCTTTCTAGGGATGTGACACAAATTAATGTCATCTGAAAGCAGTCATAAAAAGATAGAAAACAAAATGAAACAAAATAAAAACATTAAGCTGAAAAATAGAATATACAATAATATTGCAGGTCTGTAGTTCAATCACTTTATCCTCCCATATATTAAGCATGCAGGACATGGCAAGAGAAAGCAAACTTATGCTCTGCTTACCCTGGAGAAGAGATAAAGAGACCAGCTAGATTCTAAATGCCTCTGTACTTTTCTTGAGGTCAAAAGATTCTCATTTATTAACACTTTACTTGGGAAAATGATCTTTATTGAGATGGCATTTACTTTAAGAATAGTTTAATTTACCATTGGTTTCACCTGGTTGATACAAAACGTAAATTAAAGCTATTGTGAAAAATCTCTTAAAATAACTGCTACATGATTAGGAACTAATCTCCTGTATAAATGCCAATTAACTAGATAATAGATCTAGTTTTAACCTAGTCTGAATTCCATACCCTGATAATTACCTATATGTAAAATAATATCACTGAACTGCAGGGATAGTTTACTGTTAGAAATAATTACCTTGTGACCCAAGATCACCAAACACTTTTGTAAATCTTAGTTTAAAGGAGAAAATTTATGCAATAAATATGACATATTTAGAAACAATATAATTATTATGGAACCAACGAAATATGCCTTAGATAGTTACGATACTGTGCTGTGGTACAAAACTTAATTATAAATCCTTTAATAGTTTTGAGATAATAATGATATCCTAATGGGTAAAATTAAAATTATTAGAATGGTCTCATGTTTGTTATTCCACGAAGAGCTAGATATAATTGTTAAATAACGTTGTAATGTCAAATTACAGTTACTATAATTAGTTGAACTGTACCATTCACTTTTAGAGCAAATATTTATTGGTGATTTATCGCATGCATGGCATTTACTATAATGAAATCAAAGGAAACTATATAAAGAAGTGTAATAATAGGTTTCCTTTGTTGTGATTGGTGATGATAAATTTTATGTGAGTGGTATTAATACACGTAGCAAAACAAATGTAATGTAATTTATTGCCTGAAGTAGGAAGATTTTGGGGAATCTAGACATAAAATTAGTAAGAGAATAAGAATATTGAATATCATAGAAAGGACTTGTATTTTATTTTGGAGACAATTGGAGTGATGGGGATCTCAGGTGTGGACAACCTGTATAAAAGCAACATTTTAGATATGTTACTTTTTGGTAAATTAATTAGAAAAAGGGCAAGTGTCACCACAGGGAGGTATATGGTTTAGGTTATGGAGCTGAGAGTTAGAATGATGGGAAAATGACTGAAATGATAGCATTTGCCCAATAGTATAATGTAATAATAATAATGAGCAAAGTAGGAGAAAGAGATTGACAGGGGTAGTGAAGCTGGGTAGTAAATTTTGTTTTGAAGAGAAAGATAAGGAAGTTATTTTATATTTATTAACATTGAGATAATGTTTGTTATATTTTCCCTGTAAATAGTACTCCACCACTGTCTTCACCACTACTTTTACCATCACCATCATCACCTCTACTATATTCACCTCTACCACCATCATTTCCACCCCTACTAAAACCAAGATTGTCCTTCATCGTCACCATCTCTACTGCCTCTAACACAACCAAACAACATTAACTATTGCATTTATTGAATGTTTACTACTCGACAGACCTTGTAGTAAATCCTTTTCCCTTAACCCTTACACTTAATGTTTTATAAGGTGAGAATGTGGTATATGAGGCACAGATATTAAGTAACTTGCTTTGATCATAACCTTGAAATTAAAAAAGGCAAGTTTCAAACCTCAGTAATGCTGATTCCAAAGACCATAATTTTTCCAATATTTGCTACTTCTTTAGACATGTAGCAGTGAATAACTAAAATATGTGTGCAGTATATAAGTAGGCATGGTTAATTGAAGGCAAAAAAAAGCTTGCACTTGATAAAATTAAAAATTGAAGCAGTGACTGGACAAAAAGTAGAAATACCTAGATCATAGCTTTAGAGATATAAAGCTTAAATTTGAGGGAAAGAGTCAAATCTTTAGCTACATGATTTGCGAGTCATTCACTTGGAGCCAGACTTGAATCAATAAGAGGAGACAATTCAGATAAAGAAGTGTAAAGGGCAAAGAGATGGATTTGTGAGCTACTCCCATGGGAATTAGGCAGAAGGAGGAAAATGAGTCAGGTAAAGAGTGGTGACTGAGGACCGGTAGTGTGTCATCGAAGCTGAAAGGGAACATAATTTTTACAAAATATCATTCAATAGATTGTAATAATAATCACAGTGAAATTGTAGTGCAACAAAAATGGTATATCAGCAAATATAAAGCTTCTGGCCATGTTTGTATGATGCCTCTTTAAACATTTCAATGTTTTAACCAGATTTCAACCTATAGATAATTATCAATTATTGAATTTAATTGTTTCTAAATGTTTGTTCTTTTGCTGTCATTGTTCAGTCTAAATTTATCAATCCAGTGTCTTATATAGTGTGTCCAATTAATTGTGCTGTCCAAATCAGGACACATTTGAGAGTAAAGTTTGTGTTAAGTATAATTATGCTGGGACAACAGGTGCAATCTGGGCTAGCTTAAGGCAAACCAAGACATAAGATCACCTTGGTCATATATCTATAAGAAGTATTTTACTACAGAGTCCAGTTTCTGTAGCCAGGCTACCTTAGTTCAAATCCTGGCTCAGGCATTCTATACATTCTATAGCTGTGTAGTAATAATAGCCATACCTACCTTGGAAGGCTACAGAGAAGAATATATTCTATGCAGATTAAGCATTGACTCTAGTACTAAGCATACAATAAAACCCTTAGAAAGGTAGCTTTTATTTAAATAATTGTTCTTTATGTTCCCAATTGGATATCTCATTCTAGGGACTTATGAAAACTGCTGAAAACATGTGATACAAACAGAATTTAGGAGAGAAAGTATTTTTTCACTAGCCACACTTTCCTAAAAACAGAAGCAAGTAAAAATACACTCTTTTAACCAAATACATTCTCCAAACAAAAGCTAACAATAACATTTTGAAGATAAAGTTTTACATGAATCAACTTGCTTTGTTAATTTTTTTGTATTAGGTAAGTCCTGAAGACATTTGGAGGGTTAGGCAACTAGGTTTCCATATTAGTTTGCTTGGAGAACTCTTGGAGAGTTGTTAGAATGTTGCAAACTATTCATAAATCCATCTGTTCACTAATCATTGTCTATGGGCACATACTTAATGTAATAATTGATTAATGTACATGCTATCAGAATCAATAAGAAAATTCATTAAGAGCTTTACTGATTTATTTCTGTTTTTTTCTCCATCAGTGAATGTTAGTTTCAAGTAGTATCATGAGTAAAGTCCTTGGAATTTTTTGCTCCAAAAATAATGCTAAAATTCATAGATTTTTGAGGACCATTTTACTAGAACAGGTATCAACAAACTTTTGCTGTGATGGTCAGATTGTAAATGCTTTAGACTTTAGGCTATATAATTTCTGTTACACCTATTCAAACCTTTCCTTTGGAATGCAAAAGTAAACATAAAAGATAATAAATGAATGAGTGTGGCTGTGTTCCAGTAAAACCTTATTTAGAAACACTGAAACTTGAGTTTCATATAACTTTCACATATCGTAATGTTACTATTCTTTTGATTATTTTCAACAATTTAAAAATGTGAAAACACTTTTTAGCTCATGAGCCACACAGAATCTGGCAGCAGGCTGGTTGTGGTCTATAGGCCTTAGTGTGCTGATCCCTAGACTTGGGAGATAAGCCCAGTGACTTACTTTGGAATTATCAAAATGGGTCATAAGTCACAAATTAATAGAGAATTATCGAAAGTTCCAAATATTGTATCTGAATAACTTTTCTAGATTTTCCCTCTTTGCTTAGAACATTTGACACACTATTTTTAGGTATGTGTTCTTCCCATACTTCTATACCCTGGTATATGCAAATTCTAATGTCAAGTGTTCCATGCGTTTCTAAACATATGCTGCTTAGAAACATAAGGCAGATTTTAATGTTCTTTCTTAGTCTTAGAATTACAATAACTGGAATGAAAGGAAAATTGTACCTTTTTTATAATTTCCATGATAGTTTTGCATTTACAAAATTTTATTGCCATCATTTTAATGTATCCACTGATTTACATAACACCTAACTTATCTACAACATATATAGTTGAGAATATTCACAAAAAGATCAGTTAAAAATTCTAACACCTTCAAGATAAGATTTTATAAATATCAAAGAACAGGAAATCTGTTCTGTAATTACTCCTGATTTAGGATGCGCAGATTGAGACATTATGTTCTCGTAAACTAGCAGAATGGATCTCATCTATTGTAGGTGTACTTCATGAAAATGTACTTTCCATTACTGGAAGAAAAGCATTTAATGCAAAACTAAGGACTGAACATGCAGGCCCTTCATAAAATATAATTCTAAAAAAGAAACTTTCAGGTTTACAATGCTTCCATAGCAGTTTATTTCTTGTGGTTTCTTCTGTCAATCCAGAAAAGAGCATTTCCATTAAGCATTTCATTTTTGTTGGGATGGTGATTTCTTGGGCAAATGTTAAAACTTACTTTATAATTTTTCTCATTAAATTATCTGATATGACAGGTACCTAAAACTTCTGAAAATACTGTTGCAGTAAAAGCACCACTGTTAAAAAAAAGCTGTAAATGAGATTTCCTGCTTAATTTTTTTATAAAGTCAGGAATATAAATGCTCTCACCTTTTCCTAATTTCAGAATCCACAGTAATCTGCCTCTTCTTTTGGGGAGGTGGTGGTGGAAGTTCCTCTTGGGCATGCTTTACCAGGATTTGTTCCCTCGTGGTCACCATAGTTACCGTTTCCATTACAGTTGTCTGTGTTAGTGATGGCTGAGTGGTGGTGACAGCCTGTGAAATCTGTGAGAAGTATTGAAACGGAGGTCAGACATTGCTCGAAAGACTTCAGTAAAGACTGCTAGGAGTGGCAAAGGAAACTAATAAGAAATTGTTCCTGCTTGTTGGTAGATTGACCTTCAGATCAAAATAACACCATATTGAACTCAAATCAAATTGTTTTAACTGACTTAAGTTATGTCGACTGAAATAGCAAAGGAAGGTAATCTCAACACCAAAAGTAAATTTAGTGTCTCTTCAATTTATTGGTCAAACTCTTGGAAATAACAGAGAAAAGAAGAAAAAACTTAGAATGTTATTCTGATATTTAATTAGACATGCTGTTTAAAGTTTTTACAACATTAATGTGAGTTATACTAAGTTATATCAGTACCAGTTCAATTGCCTGATACATAGTAAATGTTTATTAGCAGTGTGTAGAATGCTCATTGATGCATGATTATTTTATATGCTATACATTTTTAAAATAAAAGTATTTGAACCTTGTAATAAACTGCTTTTTTTTTTTTTTTTTTTGAGTTGGAGTCTCACTGTCACCCAGACTGGAGTGCAGTGGCCGCTCCCAGCCATCGCAGCCTCGCCTGCTGGGCTCCGGCGATCCTTCCGCCTCAGCCTTCCGTGTAACCGGAATTACAGGCATGCGCTACCACGTCCAGCTGATTTTTTGATTTATTGTAGAGATGAGGTCTCGCTGCCCAGGCAGGTCTCGAACCCACGGGCTCGGTAATCCACTCACCTCAGCCTCCCAAAGGCGCGGGATTACAGGCTAAGCCACCGAGCCCAGCTATAAACTGCTTTTTAATCAAATAAGTGACATGCCTTTTAGCATTACAATAAAATATTAACATAAAGTGCAGATTAGTCTATAAATACTTTTATGCTGAATTTATTCAAATAAAAAATGACACTACCCTTGTTTGATTTAAGTTAGTGAATATGTTCAAATATTTGAGTTTTCAAATCCATCACTAAAGACCCTTCTTGGTTTAGAATCACATTCACTCCCTGTTCATAATTCAGACTTTTTTAGTGGGGTGGAGGCGTAGTTCCTAGGTCTTTGAAATAATATGGTTTGTGATCCAAATCATGACAGGCTATTACCTTAACACACAGACATTACTAAACAGACAAGTGAGACACTCATTCTTTCCTTAACCAACATATTTTCCATCTCATAGTGTTCCATTTATTATGACCGTAAAGTTTTCTCTCAGGATGTTAATTGTTACTGTTCTGGCAATCCAACTTATTTGGAAGATTTATTACCAAGAAGATCAAAAAACGTCTGCACTGGATCTGCTTTTAGATATGAGCACAAGGGCAGGAATCTGTCTGAGCCAAGGTTATTTTTACTAATTTTCTTAAACCTGTCAAGAAAAATAGGAAAGGCTTGGAGTAACTTCCCTGGCTCATACATGATGACTGATTCTTTAAAAGAGAGGAAATGTGGTAGCTTCCGGGGCATCTTATTTCATCTCCCAAATTGGCAATTAACAGTGAATGAATGAAATTCTTTCCATGATGTTTCATGCAAAAATGACTTAGATATATATGAGCTAGGACTCAAAAAACTCAGAATTTATTTATAAAAAATTGTGTACTCATTTTTACATGTTTAAACTTCAGTGACCTTCAAAGTATTCTCCATTTAATGCAATACACTTATCGAGAGTTTTTTTCCACTTCTCAAAACAGTTTATGAACTTGTCAATTTTGATTACTTTTAGTGCTTCTGCTGTTTTTTGTTTGACCTCTTCCACATCAGCAAAACATCTTTTGAGGACTTTTTTCAGTCAAGGAAACAAAGTCACTCTTGGGGAGAGATCAGGTGAATAAGGAGGGTGGGGCACGTGGGTCGTGTTGGTATGGTCAAAAACTGCCGAACACTCAGTGCAGTGTGGGAAGGTGTGTTGGTAAATGGCCAAACATGAAATGGGCCGTTAAACATGCTGAAAGAATCTAAAAAAAAAAAAATCTCTAAATCCGAATGCAACCTCCCACAATAACGCTAGCTGGTACTCTGATGTCAATGGGTTTCCAGAACACTTACCTGCAGGGTAAGCTTGTACAATAAGGGGCCCACCCTGCAAAAAAAATAATTCCGCTTTTTTGGGGGGCCTCCCTTTGTTTATATTTAAAATGCTATGTTTTGTTCAAGTCACATCTTTGTATATGTGAGGCCTGAGAAATTTCCATTTTGGTATCCAAATTAGCTAAACAAACAAGCAAACAGATAAAAAGAAATTGAGTTTCTGTGTTTGCCAAACAGGTTTTATTTTCTCTAAGATCTCCACAGATTCATTATTTGGAATCAATCACTGAGCCTCAAACAACTTTAATTATGTAGTCTATTGACACATTATCATGTTATGTTAAGATGAAAGCAGAAAGCAACATAACTTTAAAAAATGTTTAGAATATGTATAAACGCAAATGTAATTGCACCTAACACAAAATAATCATTACACTATCAAAATAGGTTTACCTTTAGAAAAAACAAAAAGTTTTTTTTTTTCCATAGGATCCTAAGAGCATTTATCCCCATTGGGACATTTTTTAACCATGAGCAAACATTTTGTTGTTGTTGTTTTTCCATACAATGATGACTAGAGAGAATATTTTTCATTTTAGGACAATACATAATTTTAAATGTTCAGAAAGCAGAATGCAGAGATTATGAAAATACAAAACTTTTTTATATTTATCTAACCTTATGAAACATTGATGCTACTAAATATTTGGCTTGTAATCAATGTATGCAATGATAATAATATTGTCTTATTGATATCTACTATAAAATTGAATAGATTTGTCCATGAATAGTAAAGGGAAATAACAACATGATATACTATGAAACTGCATTTAAGACTGAAGCAAACCTCTTAAGAAAGAAAAAAAGTCATTTTAATAAAACAATAGACATGGATCTGTAATTGTTCTATACCATCATCACTACTGTACTATAATTGAAAATATGACTTCATTTCCTTTGTGATAGAGAAATAAGAAAATAACTGTGCATTCACCCTGCAAATACAGGGTAGAATGCATTACATATGGCAAATTAATAATTACTCTCAAAACCTACTCATATAATCAGAATAAAAAACAATCAGTCATGTACTAAATTTCCCCATGGCTTTTAGTTATTGACTATAAACACTTAATTACGTGTTAGAATCATTAAAAAATATAGACTGGAGAAGGATTATGAACCTTCTGCTTATAATAGGATTCACTATACCCAGAAGCAGACAACTCTTTTCTTACCATAGCAGCAAACTTTCCAATTGGCAAAGATTTTTTTAACACCTAGTGGAAGCCTGCCTTATTATGATTACTTCCAGATAAAATTAGTTTTGACTCCTGGACCAATACAGAGTAAGTTGTGTATTCTTTCCACCTGACAGTCTTAAAGATTTGAAATCTGATAAGCATGACCCTGATAAGTCTCATTTCCAAGTTCTACAATGCCAGTTATTTGCTAGAAGTAGTGCTAATGTGTTCGTTGCTACAAAACCAAAGTTTCCTGGCTTTGAACACCATATTCAATTAAAGTAATCTAAAAGTGTATATTCAGCAGCTGAATCACAATGTTTTAATACAATCTCAACATTTATTAAATATGTATTCACTACTGGACATCAAAAGGTGAGTAAAATGGAAACTCTGTTTTTAGGAACCTTACAATATATAAGGAAGATGACAATCGCACAAATAATTGTGAAATAAGGTGAGTGTCACATGAGAAATACAAGTATGGAGAAGAATTACATATGTAAGACATGCAGCAATCATGAAAGTTTCTTTTGTAATGTTATAAAAACAGATTTAACATTTACATGTAGTTTGATGCTGAAGGCTGGATATAACATTTATCCCTGTTCACGGGGTCATTTACAATAATAATTAATATTAGAAAAAACCTAATGTCAGGAGGTTATGGTTTAAATAAATTATGGTACACGCATGAGACAGAGTATTGTACATATTTAAAATATTTTAATGACATTGGAAAATGTTTGTATTATAGTATTGAGAAATCAATGTAAAACAAAAATTGTTAGAGAAAGTATAGATAATTTCTATTGTAACTATATATTTCTGTATTCTTTTTAGATTCCAAATTTCTACTATAAAACATTTTCTACAAAATGTTACTTTGTAAGCAGAGAAAAGCTTCAAAACCTTTAAAATATTTTTCCTTTTTTTTATTTTTTAAGAGACAAGGTCTTACTCTGTTGTCCACCTGGAGTGCAATGGTACAATAATATCTCACTGCAACCTGGAACTCCTGGACACAAGTGATACTTCTGCCTCAGCCTCCCAAGTAGCTGAGACTACAGGTGTGCCCCACTTACTAATTTTTTTTTTACCCCTGTTGGCCTCAAACTCCTGGGCTCAGGGGATCCTCCTGCCTTGGCTTCCAAACGTGGTGGGATTACAGGCATGCACCACTGCCTCCAGCCCTCAAAACTTTTTTTGAATCAAATTGTTGTTTCAAATCTTTTCTACCTATGTATCAAGGTCTCTAGAATTATAATCTTATCATCCAAACACATTAGAATGAAGACAACTGCAAACCTAATAAAAATAACTTAATGCCCTCATTTAAACTGTTGAATAGGAAGGACCGGGCTCGGTGGCTCAGTCAGTAATCTTGCGCTTTGGGAGGCCAAAGTGAGTGAATGGCCTGAGCCCGCGGGCTCAAGACCCACCTGGGCAACTTGGTGAGACCTCATCTCTACAATAAATCAAAAAAATCAGTCGGGCGTGGTAGCGTGCGCCTATAGTTCCAGCTACTTGGA